CTCTGTTATTACAATAAAAAATTTGAAACTCTCACATTATAGATCGTCCATTACAGCTAAACTGTCAATCACGTAGTCCAACTTCACTTATACTTTCAACAGTTTGTTTGTTTTCTCTGTACATATTTATAACTTGAGACAGAAAAGTCTAGAAATATCTAACCCTCTAGTAACAAAAATATTAAACCTAAAGAGAAAGACTTAGAAGCTTCGAGTAAGATGATGTCAACAATATTGTTATGTATCTGCTTGTTTGTTAATTTCTGATAGAAATTATTTCGGAAGAACTTCAGCTATATAAGTCCTTTCTTAATTAAACCAGTTTATTTTTCCTCGATACAACTTTTAGTAATACAAAAAATTTTACAGTCACTGTAAAATTTACTTTTATGAACACTTTTATTTACGGTGCCTACCGTTCGCTTGACTCAATTATCTATATCTCTGATCTATCTATCTATCTCTATCAATCTATCTGCCTATATAGCTGGCTTTCTTTGCCAAACTTATATACTAAAAAATAGTGCGTCTAGCAAACACTCGGACATTCGCGAGGTTCTCCGATAATTCTAGATACTCCAGCGTGCATGTTCCCAGCGTCACGCGACTTCCACTGTCGTAACACTGCCCCTTCCTTAGTATTGTTCGTCCTAAATAGCCACTCACATTTAACCAATAGATACTTAAAAATAACTTAATTAAATGTACAGAATTTACAAACACAAAATTAAAATACAACAAAGTCTCCTAATTTTACACGACATTTCTCCTTCCATACTAATCTCCGTCTAGTTGGCTTCTGCTTCACGTGGGGTCCATCTGCTCCATCAGGAAATGTCCCATTATCGGTAGTAGTCACATCAGTGGTAGTAACTTCATTAACGGCTTCACTGTTTTCTTTCCCAAAACCGGGTAGAGTTTGTTCTTCGACAGTGGCTTTTTCAGGTGACACGTCTTCAGCAGCGTCATTTGTTCTGTTGTTCACTTTGTTCCAACTGAAATGTCCTGGACCATGATAATGCCAAAGCCTGTTGGCATGCGCCACTTTTGGCTTATTTCACCGTCCACATTTTATTCGGAAACTCACGTCTGAGAGACGATCCACTATGTCATATGGGCCTTCCCATGGAGAAGACAATTTAGGAGACTTCCCTTTGGTCTTTCTGAGATTATACAACCACACCTTATATACTGGTACAAAGCTTACTTCAGTAGATTTCTTATCATAACATAGCTTCGTGGAACAAGCAGACGTTTTTAAGTTCGAATGTACTTGATGATGAATATCATCCATCCTTTCAGATAACACTTTCACAAACTCTGGCACATTGTCAGGCAACTTTTGGTAAGGTGGGCGTCCTGTTATCAGGTCCACTGGCAACTGAAGTTCCCGACCAAACATCAGCTTTGCTGGAGTGTATCCAGTGGCTTAATGTTCTGCTGTTCTATAGCCCATCAACAGTGGAGTGAGCAAGCCATCCCAGTCATCTTGGAGGCTATTACAAAACTTTGCCAATTCCTGTTCCAGTGTCCAATTGTACTTTACTACCAACCCAGCAGGCAATGGGTCGGTAGTAAGTAGTCCAACCCTAATATGCATGGGTCTTCAATGTCAGCCAAGTATACTTCGTGTCTGT